CTGTCTCATGCTGTTTGTGGACTGTAAAGTTGCACTGAAATCTGTTTATGGTCTTCTGTCAGGTGAACATTTAATTAGAAGTCTATGCCTCTTCACCAGCGGAAGGTGCCATACCAGCAACTAATGGAGTTCGAACGAGGCCACATCATCAGTATGCAAGAGGGTGGAGCACTGAGCAATCACAGTCTGCACACAGTGTTTTGCCCAGTTATGCATGTTTGGAAGAAATGGATAGAGATGAACCAAACAAGGTGCAGTCCTGGTAATAAGACACATTATAGTACAATGGCGCAGACAGCATCCACATGGCAACGTGGTGATGAATTGTACAGCTTCCTTTTACGTGTTAGCACAACATTGGAGTGCAGCTACAGGTGTTGTTTTATCTGGCTTCATTGTTCATTGCTGTCTGCTGCGGCATGAACTGCGTGCAAAGTTTTCTGTATGCAGGATTCCCCTGTTGCTGAATCACAGATGCTTGTGATTTCAAGGGGCCCACCAACAGAGTGTGTGGTGTGCCTTGTGGCAACAAATTGTTTTCTCCAATGAATCTCACTACAGTCTGGATTGCAGTGATTTAAGAGTACACATCAGACATTACAGAGGATACGCCTGCTCCCATAGTGTGTTATCCAGCATTATACTGCACAAATGCCTGGCATCATGGTGTGGAGAGCTATTGGGTATAATTGTCAATCCCATCTAATGCAGATTCTGGGTAACCTCTACAGTGATTGCTACATAAGGGAAGTTGTGGAGCCAGAGGTCCTTCCTATTCTTTGACGCATTTCAGGCTCTTTATTTCAGCATGATAATGCCCATGTATATGTTTCACAGACTGCACAAGCTTTGTTTATAGTATAACAGGTTTCATTTCTTCCATTGTCTGATCACACATGGGGCACACACTAAGACTAACTTTGGGATCAAGTTGAAGCCATATGGAATGCCATTCCCATCATTCAGGACCTGTATGATTCAATGCCACAATGTGTACAGGCTCTCATTGCTCAGTGTGGTAGACACACAAAGTACTGATTACCGACATTTATTTTGTTTTTGTGTTGTGTAAATTTGAATGGTTATTTGTACCATATCAGTAATATGTGGAATGAATTTCCCACAATTTCACCATGGTGTTGCATTTTTCACAAACTTAAGTGTGTGTGTGTGTATATATATATATATATATATATATGTAGATTGAGCCTTGCAAGAAGAGGAGAAAACTCAATGTTTTTTAATATAACAAGACTTTAATTTCTGGTAAATTATAGAGTAATAATGTAAGCCGAATTGAAACACACTTTAATAAAAGTATGAAATTATTTCAATTTATTTGTAAGCATTTAAATTAAAAATACTATTCTTTTTATCAAGCTCTAAATAAACCTGTTAAGCCGATACATAATAGGAAACATAAGAATCAGAGCATACCTAAAAATAGCCTATTAATGAAGTCTGATGCTTATCAGTCTTCTTGGGACAAGAGAACTTCCTTCAAAACAATAAGCAATAGGAGTAATTCAGTATCAATATTTTCAGTGGATTCTAAAGGGTTATGCACTGCATTGACAGCCTCATCTTTTATTATCAAGTCTTATAATTATTTTGCAATTCTGCTCTATTGTAATCATCTGAGGAAGTTTTCATATCTACCTTAGTTTCAGCATTTAATAAAGTACTGAGTATTTTAAATGGGATCTTGAATTGCAAGATATGAAATTTCAGGATTCTAAGATAATTATTTTCTATGAAAGAATAAGAATGGCAAATTATAGCTCCCTGATTGGTCCTCTTTGTATAGGATGTTAAAAGTCATATAAAATTCTCCAAGCAGAGTATTTTTTCAGATATTTTGTGTCTTATTTTTTAAAACACACATATATAAATGAAGAGTTACCCCTTTTAATCTAAAACTGAGAGAACGAACAGACAATCCCTTAGGCTACTGGAGACTAATCAGTGTTTAAGGAGAAAGGAGACAGAACAAGGATGTTAAATACATGGCCCATGACTCACTTCTCTGAAGCCTGCAGCTCACGCCACAGAAATAATAAAAACACATTGTTAGTATATAGTTTTAAAAATCTAAACTACACCAAATATTGATGTATATATAGAATGTCAAGTGGTAAAAAAACTCTTTGCAAAAGTCTGATAGTCAATTTCCAAGACTGATAGTCTCTTTGCAAAAATATTTTCTTGTTTGACATTGAAAAAGTGCCAGCCATTTGTAGTTATTTGGTTTATTTTATAACGGAAAACATGAAAAATCAACAGATCCCTGTGAAGACTCGAATTCTAGTTACTTTGGTTGATATCCTGATGTGCTTTCCAACCACATAGGTATTCGATAAAGAAGGAGTAAATTCCTTGCACATAATGAAAGAATTACAGGCATTCAAAGCAACTCATTTATAAATAAAAAAGTCAGTGAGGTAGGTATCTGAAATTTTGCGAATACTTGCCTGCCCAGTTCCAGAAAGTCACAAATTTGCATTGTACGTAATTTCCATGTTGATTAGCATATATTCAGTGTAGATAAATTTTTTCACTTATGAAGAGTAAAAAGTCTCCATCAAAATCCATGTTAATAGGCATTAATCTAATCTTTGTTCTGAAAATTGGCATTCTTGAGCAGTGTTTTTCCAGACATGTGAAAGTTGGTTGTAGGAAAAAAAATGCCAGATATTGGGAAAGAAACTATATGTATCCATCTACTATGAGATTTTCTCCATTTAAAAAAAAAAAAAGAACTACATTATTAGGTGAAATTTTATGTATTTATTCACTTTTTATGTACTTCATTATGTATGATAAAATTTTTTTTCTTGTGGCCCTAATTATTGTGCGCTGATGACTATTTAGTCCACTTAAGATATTGCCGGAGGTAAAGATTTTTAACCATTTACTTACGATGCAGAATTTCGAAATATGAGCTAACAGAGGTTTAAGGGAAAATTTTAAGGTAGCTATGGGAAAATACATTGATTTAATGTTGAAAATGCAAGGAATAGTTTTTTTTTCGTGGGGGGGGGGACATAATGAGGCATGTGAAATAAAGAAGTTTTAGATATTGGAATTTGGCTGCAGCATATATCATTCAAAAATTTTTATCCTGCTGCTCTGTGGCTTGTTAACAACATATTATATACAGTCAAAAGTCGTTAATCTGGACACCCATAATCCGGAATGATCTATGATCCGGACCTCAAATCTACAAACTTTCTGCGCATGCGTCAACACATAATGTGTTCATGCATTCGCGTAATACTTTTACGCATGCACATAATACGTTTATGCATGCGCGTTTAATGTATAACGGGCGGTATAAGCTAAGGTAAAATTATCTAATTATGTGTTTCAGTTAATGTTGCAGATTGCGTTGATTCCTTAATCTTCGAATTGGATCCAATTTATTATTTTTTGCAGACTGTTAGAGCAATTTTATTAAAGTAAGCTTGAACTTTCGATTATGTCAAATAGAATTTCCGATGCTGGAGCTGCCAAAGCAAAAGTATGTTTCGATGTCCATCAAACAAAAAGTGGAATTGCTGCAAAAAATGGATAAAGGCATATCATTTGTTTCTCTAACCATTTCGAAATCTGTTTATCAATTTCATGCTGCTCTGTGGGGGGGGGGGGGAACGTCGCGGCACGCAATGAACTGGAAGTTGATCTGTTAGCATTATCCTATCTTCAGGGCAGATGTTTTTATTTTATTCAGCTTATAATTCCTTACTAAATGTAGTATTTCATCTCGATGTATTCCGTCTTTGGTATGATTTAAATCAAATTCCTCGTCATTATAAATATCACGAGTACACATCAAATAGTTTTCGTTTTCTGGTTGCAATTTTGTAATTTCGACTATGCGTAATGTATGCTTTACGCATGCGCACGTTGAAAGAAATGTTTAATAAAGTAAACAAATAAATATAAAGCTTTTTTTTTGTAAATTTTGATACCCTTTAGATCATAATTGCTCTTTACTTCATAAATTACGGTTTTATATTTTTAATTTTATAATTTCTGCATGCCATCTTACCAGATTTAAACTGATGATCTATAATCCGGAAAAATCGATAATCCGGAATCGCCGAAGTCCCGACGAGTCCAGATCAAAGACTTTTGACTGTATATATTAACATTAATGTAAACATAAGTTCTTTTTTCACATGTCATAAATAATGCTGAGTTTTCTAATATTATTTATGATGTGGGGGATCACAGTTAATCTTAGAAATTTGCAGTGTGTGAGTCACTGAATTTTCTAAGTTTACTGTTAATTTTGCACGGTTGTATGAAAGCATATTTCCTAATGGCATCCTGATTTTGGTTTGAGGTATTTTTTCATATGCTTATTTCGTATTTTTTTCTTCTCAGAATATAGATATTTTAAATCTGATTCATTTAAGTATATAAAGCTGTAATAAAAAAGTATTAGTGTTATTTAATTATACAGTGAATTAGATTATGGAAAATATATTAATGTATGAGATGTTTATTGAATTACGTGTATCCTTTTTCAAATCTGAATATTAAATTTTTAACTATTAATCAACTATCTAAAACTCTCAAAGTATATGAATTTTTATAATTTTACGTAGGTTTGCACCATAATTTAATTTTATAAAAAGAATGCCAACATGTTTTGTATGGGTATTCATTCCTAATTGAGAGGATGGAAATAAATGGAATAAAGAAAAGTTAACACAAAAATGTAATTTTACAATATATTGCTGGTTTGGAAATACATAAAAAATACTTTTAGATTAATGCAGATCAAGGAGAGAATGTGGGCTGATAATATAATTATTTATTTGACTGATTATATATTTTTTCCAATCACAGATAGTGGCTCAGTGGTAATATTATCAGTAGCAGACATGAGTACATTGTTGTGTGGTTGTATTTATTCCTTCAGTTGGATAGATTCTTTATATTGTTATTTTTTTAAATTTTTATGTATTTATTTACTTACTTTTTGCAGATCTGTAGAATAAATTTTATTTTTTCTTAAAAAATGTTTTCTTTAGATTAATCAAAAGCTTCCTTTAAAAGTGTGATTCTCAAATCTTTTTGTTTATTATTAATTATAGGTTCTAAAGATGGTTTTATTAGGTTATGGAAAAGAGAGGATGAAAATCGTTCTCTTTTACCTGTTTTAAGGATACCCGTGGTAAATATTTTTATATTGCAATTCATATATAAAAAATATGTTAGTATCCTCTTGTTTTTTCCGAAGGAAATGTATCAATAAGTTTTTGGAGCATTGTGATATTTTCGATGTTGTTACCTGTCACAAAGTTTAAAAACTGTTTCCTTTCTGTGATTTCAGGTTGGATTTGTAAATACTCTGCAGTTCACACAGTCAGGGAACTATCTGATTGCTGGTATAGGCCAAGAACATCGCTTTGGACGATGGTGGCGAATAACAGAAGCTAGGAATTCTATTGTAATATATTCATTTAAAAATAAAAGTTGAAAATTTTTTAAATTCTTAGCCTTTTCATTAATACATACGTCACTGTACATAAAATTTAAATAACAGGTACATTTATGAAAGTTTGCTCTAAATTCTTGTCGGATATAATTTAAATTTAATTTATCATATTTATTTATTATTATTTTTTTAAAGATTAATATGAAAGCATAAAAACCAAGCAATTATATATTAGTTTTTATCAAATCACAAATAATTCAAGTTTGAAAATAAACATTTACTGAAATGTATGCACTCATTGCATTAAGTACTCAATTTTAAATTTTTCAATAATAATAATTTTATCAAATAGTAATGAGATATATTCTGCAAGAGAAGAAAAGGATAAATGTGGTCACGTGTTAAGAACAACATCCGCATGTGCTATGATTACAATGGAGTTGATAGCAGATATTCCGCTGAAATTAATTGATTTTTCGAATTTAGAAATTTATGGCTATTACGAGAAATTAAAAGATATGCTTGGCAATTATTTCTCTTTTCTTGATGTTAACAAGTAGGGTCTTTTGTTATTCAAGGAAAAACATGTGAAAAATATTTGCTTCAAAGTAATGCCAGATATCACGGTACTTATAACAAGCCATGTTAAGGCTGAAATGAAGAAATCAGTTATGAAACATCTGTGTAAATTTCTGCTGAAAACGAGGTAAGATTTATAAATTTTATGTGTGATGCTTACCAGTATTAATAATGTTTTTATTAAGAATATTAAGTGTATATCAGTTAATTGAAAACTATTCCCAAGATCTTGAATAATGTTTTCCAAACTTTTAAATGTAAGTGTAATAATAGTATATTCATAGTTCATGAATAGTTGTTCTAAATTACTGAAATATCCGAATTTGAGAAAGATCTGTTTATGTGCAAGAGCATAAATATAAAGCCAATTTTCTCTCATTAATATTAATTAGTGTCATAAAACATTTTATGCTGCTAAAATTTTATTAATTTCATCAGGCTATGTTTTAATATTTTAGCTGTTGTAATTGATTTTTAATGAATACACATAAATATCGGAATGTTAATTTTTTAATACCTTCCATTGTAGATGTCGATACCAACAGCTGTAATATTAGAAACATCAGTAATACTGAAACATTTTAATATAAAAGCTTTATAAAAATTTATACTTAATTCTAAATTTTCATGGGAGATTGCTGTGATTTTTAGTTTAAATATTAAATTAGTATGTATATTTAATCTTTGAAAATCAGTGTGTCAGTCCATAGTTTGACATAACATGTGCCTTAAGTTATTATTAGAATTACACTACTCTATTTCCTATGGTAGATCTTTTCAAAAAACTTAAAAATCTTATTGAGCTACATGATTTTAAAATAAAAAATTCTATTATTATGTAACTTACAAGATTAAAAATAACTTCGAATTTATTTTTTGAATATTTAAAATGTATACAGATAGTACTTTTATATTATTTATTATTATAAAATGAGGAAAAATGTCATATGAAAAATTATTAGTTTCACAGCTAGTACTGCAGTTAACTCAGTTGCACAAATCTCTATATTTTTCTTCGTGACATTTATATTAAAGTATACAAAATGTGTTAATTTGCAGTTTATACTATCAATAGGATAATAGTCAATTGCTAAACATTAAATTTTAAGTTGTATAAAATTATATATTAATTTTGAACTGTGCAGAACATTGGTGTTGTTATTCTTACATGATTTAAGGGCCATCTGCATTTACAGTGCTCTGGAAATTTGACTATTATGATTTTCAGAAACCATCTATTTATATTTACCATTCTGCTTGTTAAGCTGATAAAATTATGACTTAAAAATATTTATAGTAACTTTCTTTTCAGTGTAAAAGAGCACTCTATGTAAACATGATTTAATGTTTTCATTTTTACATTTTTTATAAATGAATTAATTATCAGATCAAGGAACAAATTCATAAATAAATATTAACAATCAAAACATGGTAAAGCAGCGAGCAAAAGAGTACCATGAAGATAACAATAACATATGAGTTACCAAAATTATACTAAGCATGAATGAGCAGTTAATTAATGGATGAAATAATAATTAAAGATGAAATGCAAATTTCATAACTAATTAAAAATAAACAAAGTTTCCGAATTTTCAACAGATCTATCACAGCACAAGTTTGTTTGTTTAAATTAGCAGTTCTTACATCATGTGACCTCCGATGTCACTGGAATGTATCTCATTATGTTCATATGATGTGATAAAATTTGATAACACTTCAACTTAATGGAGAAATCATAGCAAATATGCATTTCTGAGAGAGACTGTAGTGAACATTGAGTGAAATAATTTAAAAACCCTGTAATATAAAACTGCTGAGTGACATGATGAAAAGTATTGATTTCCATTCTGGTATTGACGTAATATTCATATATCGGGGTTTGTCCGGTCCTTAAAAGTCCTTAGGTTTTCTGGAATCAATTTTTGGTCCTTAAAAGTCCTTAATTTCGGCCAAAATCGTCACAAGGTCCTTAATTTTAATCATCTGAAATTTCTGTCTTGTTTTTATGACTGCGATTTTGAGTGTGAATTATCATTTTTTAGGAATATTTTTGGCAATTCACTGACAACTATCTTTTGAATGGGTAAAAGTGTTGCTATTCACTGACAAATATTATCTTTTGAATGGATGAATCTGTTGACAAGATCTCTTGGACAATCTGGTGCTGATTATGGAAATATGGTGCTAAGCATCCATCGCAGTAAGGGGAGGGCATGTGCCATACTAATGAACATCTTCTTTTCTTCTTCCTCTTGTACAGACAATCGTGTGTAACGATACTATGAGTTTAATAAAACTTTTTTTTGTTTGATTCAATACTCTATGCATTGTATTCATTTTTGTGCAACTATGCTTTCGTCATCGTTTCGATACAAAATGCTCTCTCTCATTTCTGAGTTTCATGTCTCTCATATGATTTCTCATGAAGTTATGACAAAAAGAACACCTGTTGCTTAAGTTTTGCACACCAGTGCATTATCATGTAGTTAATTTATCATATAGTATATTCAAATATCATTAGTTATCATATAGTTATCTTCAGATTTTATATTATCATGTTTAATATGCATGTTAAGCAAAATTAATTTTAAAGGAAAAGAATTAAAATATATTGCTGGTTAAATTTACAAATCTGTATTTGTGTGGAGAAAGCAACAATTTTGAAACATATTATTAAATTTTGGATTCAATAATAATGAAACTCGGGTGTCTATGTAAATTATTTACTCAATTTTGATTTGAGAGTATTCAGGTAGAGAGATTTCAAATGTCTTTGTTCTGCAAAGATGTTATATTTGCAAACCCAAATATTCATGCCATATTTGCGTTTCAAGTTTGAGCCCATTAGTAGGGTATCCAGCCTTTGCTAACCATCATAATGACTAATTAGTTAATTGTATGTAGTGAATTGAAAAATTTTTGGCCTGCTATTTAAAAATATCATTTGGCAATAAATTTCTGTTACACACATTTGGTGGCAGCTTTGAATGAGTAAACTTGAAAGTTTTGGTAACATAATAATTTTAGTTCTTTTATGACAATTTAAGTAAAATGCTTTTCAATTTTCCAAAACACTTAAAATTTAGAACTATACAATCCTTTAATTTTGATTAAAAATGTCAAAATTCTAATGACGTAAAACAGTGTTTAGATGGATTTATGATGATTCCTCTTCTTCATGTTATGTAGTGAATGAGTAAAACATTGGACAAGCATTGGACAAGAATCCTTTGAAGACCATCCTTTTCAAGGTCAGCAGCTGAAGGAATTGCCAACAGAAAACATTACTGTAATAAAAATAAAATATTCCTATATTCTTTGATAAGAAGTTAAGAATCAAGGAGATAGTAGCACAACTGGGTCTCTCTGAAAAAGCTATTATTTGTGCATTCTGTATGAGTATCTTCACATCAGCAAGGTCTATGTGAGAAGAATACCTCAACTTCTGTCAGCAATTAAAACATGAAAGTGCAACAATTGCTTAAGAAGCTTAAGCTGAGGGCTGTAAAACTGCTTTTTGTACGTGAAGCATCTAGTGCTTCATTTCTCTCAAATGCACTGAACATGGAAATATTTTAATAATAATAACTGATAGTTGCACAAGCATCCCATATTTATTATTGCTAGTAGCAGTGCTGTAAATGCTTAAATGAGCAAACAACACATGTGTGTTGTAGTGATAGTGCATAAATAACTTAAAAATGGTACCAATAAATTGACATTTTTTACCAATAATTCAGTAAATAATATATATCAATATAATGTTTATGTTCATTTTTTTCTTCCTCTGCTGACAGATGTTACACACTGTTTTTTATGAACTGTGAATTTTGAATTAATTTATATTCACAGTTTTAAGAACTGTGAATATAAATTAATTCAAAGCAGGTATTGATTGATATATTTGATTACCATGAGGATTATCTGCCTAAGGGGATTTCTGAGAGAAACTGGGGGAATACATATTAAACATGGGGAAGACCATGAAAGCATCCAAGCAGCCAGCCCATTCGCCAAGATACAAACCTCGGACCAAACTTTCAGTATTCAGGATTTTACCACTCAGCCACTGGTGGGCCCCTAATTCATAGAAGTGTTAATATAACTTTAAAGATTATGCTACTTTTCATTAATGAAAATCAAATCAACTCGGTTAATGAAATTGAAAGTATGTTATTAAAAAATGTAAATTAAGAAACTGATCAAGAACTTTCTTGGATCCAGATTTTGAATTTTGTTTGACTGTATGCTAAATATGTTGGAATGTTTTTGATGATTAAAAAGACAATATAATATAAGTATATAGTTGTTATATTGAAAAAAAAAAAAAAAAAAAAAAAAAAAAAAAAAAAAAACTATAAATTTCATGTTATTGGACTTGGCCATGATATATTTTGTGCCCTCTCCTAAAATTTAAAAATAGCGAAATGAGAAAGCATTTAGGAAAGGATACTGGGTTTTCTAAAGAAATCTTGATTATCTGCTTGGCACCCCTCTGTATTCGGCACCCTGCTCCACCCCTAAAGCTGATATAATAACTATGTATTTAACTCTATGTTAAATATATAATAGTTTGCTATAATATGAAAAATGTAAAAGGAGAAGCAGATCTAAAACTTTCTTTGATACTAAACTCTAAAACTGATTGGAATACTCTGCTGCATATGTTACAACATTTCTTGATGACTAAAAATTATGTTTGAGTTGTGTTGTAGAGATATAAAACATCTGGTGTAAATTTTACAGATAATTAACTAACATTGCTGTTGGAAACAGTACCCACAATTTACAGACAATTCCATAAGTTGCCCTTGCAACATGTAAAACTTTGCTGAAACACTTCGCTACCGAAAATGTTAATTTATATAATTACTGGTATTCAAATATATGCTTAACAAAGTAACAAATAGAAACATGCAAATGACCACAAAAAGCTATTTCAGGATATTAATCAGAGCAACGACCCGTAGTTATATGGCACTAATTCATAATTTTTTTAGCAGTTTTACCCACTTTTCGATCTCACTATAAATTTTGTCACCCATAGTTTGAATGCCACTGAACTAAATTATGCTTTAACTTATTCTATGAATGAAATATTAATTACTTATTTTGCTGTTCTGCAGTACCTTTCTTATCTCAAAAACTGTGCTGAGGAATATTATGGAAATCTAAATAAAAAATATATGGTATGTTAATAAACTGAAATAATAAAAAATAAAAAAAATCGGGAAATTGGATTCTTAGATAACTCTTAATGAAGATAAAAGCTGATAACCCGAAATGAACAAATTCTGATCAAAAATAAAAATTTAAATTTAGTTACCAGAAAAGAATATTTTCAACAGGGAAAAATATATTTTAATTTCGTAATGATTTCCAAACCAGCAAGAGTAGGATCTGCGAGATCTTTCTCAGTGGCTGGCTTATTTAGTTTAAAAAAATTTCAAAAAGGTTATGAGAATTTAATAATATAAAATAATCTGTTTATAGTATATCTCATATTGTTTTGAATTATGTTTATGTTACATCATTTTACATTTTATAATGTGACAAGTTTATTTTCATTATGATTGAGTAGTTTCAAACAAAATACGAATTTTTGTATTTACTTTTAGATTTTCAAAGAATATTTTGAAATTAATAAATACTGTCAAATTATAGATAAGTGGTTTTAATTAACAATATAGCCTAATTATTGGTTCTTAATATGTTGTGGCTGGCATGGTCATTTTCATGGTTTTCCCCATGTGTAACGTGTATGTGAGCCAGTTCCCTTGGAAAGTCCGCCACGAAGGCTTTCCTCCCCCTAGGCAGATAGGCCCCCGAGGCTTTGCCGTAATCACATATACCAAAACAAACCCTTAATATGTTGCTAAAGAATGATATATTTCTTTATAGTTAAGACTGTAGCTAAATTTTAATCCTTTCATTAAGCTTTTATATGTGATAAATAAAAAAAATTCTTATGTTATCAAAATTATATGAAAATAGTTAAAAAATTACTAATAGAATTTGATTTTTTTAATTGCAATTGTGTCAGAGTTTATAGGTAATATGTGTTGGACCTATAGACTATGATTAAGATCATACAGGTTTTGATCAAATGTTATATATATTAGACGTGTACATAGGAGCACAAATAAGGTGCTTGACTCATGTAAAAAATGAAAAGAGTCGCGGTACATAGTTTAATAAATTAAGTACTAATATAAAATATATAAGGGATATAATTATGAGATTTTCTTCATGTGTAAAATTTCTCAGCTTTGTCCTGATATATATAAATCAATGTGAAATATATAAATTTTCATACCTAACAGAGTATTTTAATTAAAAAAATTAATAATTTTTTTTAAAAAATTTTTTTTTTTTTTAAACAAAAACTAGATTATTGTTAATTTGATTTAGAAAGTGCATTTTAAAAACTGTGCAGCTTTTCAAAGAAAAGGTTTTTGTAGACGTTATTTTAAAATTTTTGTATGTTTGCTAAAATTTAATACAGTTGTACAGCTGGAGATTCAAGATATAATTCAAAATGTTTTTTTGATATTGTAAACAAGTATAAAATTTTTAGTAACAGTAATAATGCAAATGATAAATATGAATATTTATGTACATAATTAGCGCCTGGTAACGGTCGTCCTGAATTTAGCATTCCATACTTATAAATAGCTCCCTTGCCATGCTTGAAGATAGGTTCTTGAATTGGTTCAGAAGTGAAATTGTTTTTAGTATTCTGCTTGTGCTGGACTGTGCTTTTGGGCATCCAGCATCTTCGAATGACCTTATCCTAATATAAAATTCATATTTTTACTATATAGTTACTTCAGCCAGTGGCCAAGGGAATTATTTGGAAATATTGGTTCAGATAATAAGGGAAAAAATGGGAAAAAAAAAGGAAAAAAAAAAAAAGCTGCTAAAAATTTTATTGAGGAAATGTATTCAACAAAAATGACTAAATGTATTAAATTTTAATACAATAAAGGAAAATATAAACATTTTGAGAGAAATTATGAAATTTCTTTATAATTTCATTTAAATTATTTAGCATTCCGCTTTGCAGAATCTGTGCACAATTTTAGTCTGTCTTTTCACTATGGAAATAAGTTATTAATTGGAAGAGATAATCTCATTCTTATTATAATTTTCATTGTTGGTCAATGTCATTTTTTGTTGATAATTCTCTGAGATGCAGTTTTTTGTATGCTATGTATAATAGTAGCGCATAAGCATGTTAGAGAATTATACGAAGCAAAAGTTGTAAACATTTACAATGTGTAAGTTACAGTTTGAGCTGATTTACACATGTAAATGTTCCCTCAGTTCTTATATCGCAAGGCCTTTTTTGCCTACACTGTCCTCTTAGAAATTCCGAGTTCCTGTGTTTTTTAAAATTTTACTTGAGTTACTTGAGGTTTCTTAGGACGTTGTTGCTTCCGTAATTAATTTAATATTTTCGGTAGGTTCTTTGCTTGGCAATGTGGTTATATTTTTAGCTGCTTTTTGCTCGGGAGTTTCACTTATTGTTGTAGATTGTGCAGATTCACTTTTAGCATTTTTAGTGCTTGAAGTTGTGCGTTGAAATGTTGTGTCACTTTTATCTGTCCGAGTCTTCCTTTCTCCAGTTGTAGGAGCAGTAGTTTGAGGAGAAGATGACTCTTCTGAATTTTTCTCTATCGATGAAGTTGAGCTTTCTACCTGACTTGTGGATGATAGAGAGGAACTTTCTGATGAGAGTTTTTGATCAACAACTGATTCAATGGCTTCATTTAGTGCTTTAAATAATATTTCTGCTGTTTCATCTGCTTTTGTGCTGTTTATATTTTCCGTTTCATGACTATTGGATGGTTCATCAGTTGCTTCTTTTGCATTCGTTGTTAGTACCTCTTGTGGCTCATTTGCTTTTTCTTTTTGGTCGCTATTTAGTGTAAGGATATCTTTGACTTCATCAGTTTCTACTTTCTCATTTTTATTTTCGTCTGCTTCTTCCGAGAGTTCTTTTACTGTTGAGCTTGTAATTAATGAATCTTCTGTTGTTAATTTTGGTTCTGCTGTAGATGACTGCTCAGACTGCTTTTCTTCCGAAGCATTTTCCATACTTAAATTTTCGATACGATCTTTGTTCGAATTTTGTGAATTGCTGTCATCAAGTTTTTCTTTGCTGTCTGTGATTTCTGTACGCAAGTCCTGAGAATCATTTTCATCATTTGGAAGTTTCAAACTTTTGCTATGGTCTGCTTCTTTGTCAACAAATTCTGTGCTGTCTGTTGTAGAACTTAAACTGCTGTCTGAAGCACTTGTTTGGATACTTTGTTCTGTTATGATTTGGTCATCACCAGCAGCATTATTTGTTGAAATAAGGTCTTCATTTGTTTTCACACTTATCAAGCTTTCCTCAGATGTGATACGGATTTCTTCTTCAGGAGATGCTGAACTTGACGTTTCTGTTGAACTCGATGCTTTCTCAGTTCCTTCTTTTTCTACTTGTTCGGATTCAATTTCAGAATTTGTATTCAGTAATGAACTTTCTTCCTTAGATTCTTGTTCTTCTGAAATAACGTTCGAGTCTTCAGGAACTGAAGTTGTTACTACTGTAAACTGTTCTTCGTTCGAGCTTATGATTTCTGAATTTGGTTGTGTAGCTGGTAGCAAATTAGGTTTTTCTGTTTGCTCACTTTTATCCAACTCTTGTTCTGGATCTTCAGTACTATACGAGGCAGTTGCTTCTTGAGGATCACCTTCCTCAGAATTTGGTTGAGATGAATCCACTTCTTCTGACTGACTGTTAGATATTTCATCTCGGAATATTTCTATGTTAGTAGGCTCTGATGGTTCAACAGTTAGTAGAACTTCTGTTTCTTGAGGAACGGATGATGAATAACTAGCCTCAGAGCTAGTCTGTTCATCACTTGTTGAAGGAAAAACATTATCTCCAGTAAACGTAGTATTTGATATACCTAAAAGAAAAAAGAAAAACTGATACTTTCCGTGCGTGAGAACATTTTGTATTTTACATTAAATAAAATGTTATTGAAAATTCGGTAATATAATGAATTTTATAGGTGTAGTATGAATTTGTATACATAAAATCGGAACATAAACCATATTATAATTTTGTACAGAATAGAGCACACGTACTTCTCATTTATTCAATTCAATAATTCATTTAAGATATCTACACCAGTTTCACATACAGCAAGTAAGTTAAAAAAAAGTTTAATCTGAATTTGATTTCTTTGTTAATGTGTTTGAGATCTAAATGGTAACTACTTGGAATGACAGATTTCTGCGGAGCAAAAAAGTACTCTTTTAAAGAAAAGCTAATTTGCCTCAGTAAACTAATTTTATATTTAAAAATGTGATTAAAATGTTTATGCAATAAGTATATCAATTGAAATAAAATCAGTTTGTTTTGAATGCAATTCAAGCTCGACAATTTATTTATTTAATTTCCAAAATTTTTGTGAAACTTTAAACAGATTCGAAAGAAATAGGCATTTGATATATCGTAAAAATTTGTAAATAGCTCATTGAAGGCCTTCAAAGATCATGGTAATTTTCCCTTACCTATAGAAGTGCAGCGATTGTACTGTGGACAGCATTCACCGGGTACGTATTCTGGGGCACAGTCAACTCGAAAAAAGCAATCAACGAAGGCACAGGCGATGGAACTACCTTGACAGTGACAAGTATAGCATGGATTCTGACTGTCACGGATTACGTCTCCGTCGCGGTACATCCTTCCATTGTGTTCGCAGCCTACGGAAGATGTCCTTCTATTAATCATATTAAGAGCAAGAAAACTATTGTAATTAATTTGCAATCCTATGCATTTCGTGTATTTTGACGTGAAATAAGAAAATTTTTTAAAATTTAAATAGTATTTTATTTTCAGAATTTAAACAGTTAAACAATTTTTAAGGATAACTAAATGAGATAAGCCAATTTTCCTACGGCAGCAGCTTTTCTCATCATGATTTTTTACATTTAAGTTGAAATGTGTACTGGTGTGCAGAAATTAAAGATGGGAATAGGTTTTTATGTGTAACTTCATGCAGAAATGCTTCAAATCGGTCATGCAGTCGAATGTATAGACTGAAATGAAGCTAACTTTTGTTTAATCGGATGACATGATTATAAACTTACATGAAACAAAACTTAGCTTCATTTTTTCCTATGTTTCCCGTGCTCTTCAAGTTTGCTCCTCCAAACTATCCTTTGATGAAGAACTAAAGTATTTAAAAGCAATAGCTGTTGACAGGGGCTTTTCACCCAACATTATTAATCATGCAGTTAAAAAATTCTCATTTCAACACACTAAAAGGCACACTCTTGTTTTAGGAGATTATAAAAATTCTGTTGTCATTCCCTTCTTTCCATCAATTAGTTGTAAAGTTGCACATATTTTGCAGAAATTTAACTTTCGGGTCGTTTATTCTCCCATCAATAAAATTCCGAGTTCCATACTCAAGGACCCCATTCCGGATATGAATTCCTGGGGTATTTACAGTATTCCTTGCCAGTGTGGTTTAATTTACGCTGGCCAAACTAAGAGAGCCTTAAAATTTCGCGTCAAGGAACATGAGGCATATGTTAGAAAAAAGGAAACACAGAAGTCTTCTGTTGCCCAACATTGTTGGTCCAAAAATCACACTTTTAATTTTTCTGCTGCCAAAATTATTCAAAAAACATCTTCCATTGGAGAACTGGATTTTCTAGAGGCATTTCAAATCAAAAAATCTTTCAGTTCTAGTTAACGATCCTAATTCCGATCCATCTTTGCCTTCGGCCGTTAAAGAAATTATGTTTTAGTTATGGTTTCACCAACAAATGGCACCACTAGCTTATTTTCTGTCCCGGCTTTCTTATCTTATTTGATCATTGTATCCTATTTCGTTCATTTGCGCTATTGCAGCTGAAGATGGTAGTTCGGTAAAACCATCGAAACTAGTCCTGTGAAAATTTGAAAGTATAACGCTGATTTTTGATGTTTGACTTCTGAATTAGTATATTTATGTGCTTTATTTTGTTTTTGCTACTTGCATCTGATCTCCCCTTGTAGATTTGAATAATTATAATAATGATAAATAAACTGAAAAGCTTGTTTCAACTTAAAAGCTTGTTTCCGTAATAACGTAACAATAAAATGATTTTGGATAGTAAACTTCTTGTGTTTTTAACGTTTTCATCTGAAATCTATATTTAATGCTCTTTTACGATAGTAAAGATTTGTTTTCGCTCAAAGAATGCATTTAGTAAAATTATCTTTATTTAACAGTTTCTGTTACTAAATATAAAGTTGTTTATTTTCTCGCTACACCAATATTTTAACATACCTTTGGGAAATGTGAAGTCATTTTATTTATCTAATTTTTTTTTTTTTAAAATTTTTGAAGATCAAGGGAATGAATTTGCTATCATAAAAATAGGTTTCTCTTCCTTTCCCTTCAGCATGGAATGGGAAAAGAACTTTTTTATAGTGAAGATTTTTATAAAATGAAAATTATTTTTTACTATTTTCATACATATTTATAAATTGAATGAGTAAGCGTTTAGAAACTTTAAGGTTAGTTAGAGTATAGCTAATTAAAACACGGTAAAAGGATGGATCGAAAAATATTTTAAATATTTTCCGTTAGGATTGCAAAAATAGTAGAGAGAGAGAGAGAGGGATGGTGCTAATTTATATTTAAATTACCCAGTAGTCTGATACAGGCCGCCCCCTGGCCAATCCGTCCCGCGAATACATTTCTCGGTTAATTCAAGTTAATTGGCAATATTATGACAAGAACTTTAAAAAGAATAGGATTTTTAAGAGAGAGGGTTGGGACTAACTTATATTGAAATTATCCTAGATCAGTGGTCTCAAACAGGCAGCGCTCTGGCCAATCTGTCCTCGAATACATTCCTCGTAAGTTAATTGGCATTATTATGACAAGAACTTAAAAAAGAATAGGATTAATAAGGATTTGGATCCAGTTTTACACCATATTCATTACCAAAAACAAGCGTGAGTAAAGGCCCCAGAAAATCTACGAATAGAGCTAATTAATTTACACTGTGATGTAAATCTCATTCAAAGATTTAAAGGCACAAATTTGATTAACGTTTATTCATACTTGTCAAAAGATAAGTAACCTTGTAAGGATCTTAAGTTTTACTAACGTTTATTTTATCCTAGATCAGTGGTCTCAAACAGGCAGCGCTCTGGCCAATCTGTCCTCGAATACATCTCGTAGTAATTGCTTATTACAGACTAAAACGATAGGAAAAGGATTTCGTTTCCCTTTTACAAAAACATTAACAAAAACAAGAGTGAGTGATGTAAAATCAAGAAAAGCAAAATGTAACGTATTCATTCAAAAGTAACCAAAGGATTAATTTAAACGTTTATTTTATTTTAAATCTTTACTATCACTTCTTATTTTCTACTTCCGGCCAGAATTATAAGCGTTGAAGGAGTTTTATGCAAAGTTTGTCTGGCGAACGCCAAGTATTTAAGTTGTGGCCTTTTTGCCAAGCAGAGAGAGAGGAAGCCGTGAGTTCGAAGCAGGCCGCTTACCTTAGAAGTTACTACGCAGTTGCTACTTTGCCTTCCAGGCCAGAGGTTTTAATCCTCTTGATAAATTAAACGTATTGTAGTGTTCACAGTCTCTGTGCTACATACGCTTTTCTGTTATTATAAGGCCAATCTTATTCTAAAGTTAAATTAGAGTTTAGTTTTTATTTTATATCTTTTACGTTAGACCCCGAGTGGAGGGTCATTGTATTCCGAAGTACGGAAGTCATTGTATATAAGAAAAAAATAAAGGGTTTTGTATACCCTTCGTCTGTATCCTGTCTACTTACTACAATTAGTGAACATAGCTTTAGTAAGCTCTCTGTTCCTAGTCAGGTCATTGTATGTTTCCGAAGAAGGTTAGAAGAAACATTGAACCTGATAGTGGCGCCCGACGAAGAATAACCATGGCCGAGTTTCAAGAAGAACCTGTGCTGCCTGCAGAAACGGCTCAGAATCCAGAAATGCCAGCTGCCGCCCTGGAAGGATTTGGGTACATCGTCCAGACCATGCGCGCTTCGATGAAACCAGAAGCAACATTTAATGGAAACTCACCGGTAACCAGTTTTTTGGAAAAATTGGATGACCACTTCATGCTCTACCCCGTGCACGAGTTTCAAAAAGTTACCTTAGCTACCAGCGCTTTGAGGGGCCAAGCGCTTAACTGGTTCAAATGTATAGGCAGAAGTCTCTTGGGTCAAGCAGGAAGTCCCACCTATACTTACGAAAATTTCAAGACTGCCCTACTAAAAGCCTTCCCTGTTGTAAGGGATCGTGCGAAATTAGAAACGGAACTTTTCAGTATATATCAACAAAGAATCGAAAACCTCTCGAGCTTTATTTTAAGAAAAATTCACGTTTTCAAGCTCTTGTATGGAAACCGTCCGGATCCTGAAATAATTCAAGTGATTTTGCCGAGGTTACTACCCCAAGTGCAAGACTTTATTGAATTAAGAAATCCGACTACACTGGAAAAGTTATTTGAGCTAGCAATCCAGTTTGAAAGTAGAAGAACGGCGGACGTCGAAAGAAGACGCCAATATCAACAGCGAAACCAATTTGGTACGCCAAGACTACAGCAAACTCAAGCACACGGCTACGGAAGAAAAAGCGAATCAGTGGGCAAGGAAACCCGAGCATTCAAAAACAGCCGGCGAACGTCGACAGTTCAATAGCAACCCAGGAAAAAAGTCTCAAGGCCAGTGGAAGAAAGAAGGAAAGCACCGAAAGGAAAAATAATTTAAACTAAAACGGATTTCTGCTGACGAGAGGGTGCGGAAATCCGAAGGCCACGAAAACCCCTCTTCCTACAAGTTAAATACAGTAATGGTGAAAAATTTGACTCTTCCGAAGATTGAAGTCTTGGTAAATAATATCCCAGCCACCGCACTCCTGGATACCGGCGCGCAGTGTTCCTGTGTGGCAGAAAGTCTTTTTTAGGAAAGTATTTTCGCAAATACCGCATATATAATTGCGGATAATACGACAGTATTAGCGGCGCAAGGAGAAAAATGTAAGTGCGTAGGTAAAGTACCTTTGTACATCCGTATCAAGGACGAACAAGTAAAGGTGATGTTTTTTATAGTAAAGAATTTGCAAGCACACTTAATACTTAGGAATAGATTTTCTTTCAGACGCACAAGCTACACTGGATTTTAATGAAGCGTCCCTTAAGCTGACGATGAAACCAGTTGCGTGTAGAAAAAGGTTGAACCGCCAATGTTAAATCTTGACCACCTGCCTAATGACGAGCAAGATAGAATCCGACAAGTGGTAAGTGAATTTGCTTCGTTATTTAGTGATATTCCAGGATTTACTCAGGTTACTAACCATAGTATTGACACCGGAGATGCATTGCCAGTTCGTCAAAAACCATACCGGTATGATAAGAATAAGGAAAAAATTATAGAATGGCATATTACCGATATGCTACGTAAAAAGATCATAACGCCCATCTCAAGTAGTTATGCTAGCCCGGTGGTTTTATGTAAGAAAAATAATGACTATCCTTTGGAGCATCCAAAAAGGTGGAGATTCGCTATTGATTACCGTAAATTAAACTCCATAACGAAATATCCGGTATATCCGTTACCGATTATAGAAGAAATTTTAAGGAACATAAAATCAACCAAATTTATGACGACTTTAGACTTAACGACTGGTTATTTTCAAATAGGGGTTCAGGCCTGAGGACGTGCCT